TGCCATAGCTATTTTGGCAGTGCCTCTAGCTAGTATCAATATTCATAAGCCAGAAATAAAGTTCTTATAAACCATGACAAACATACTAAAATATCCATCTGCTTTTCCACATTTAAGAGAGAAGTTTGCTGATGGCCTGCTCTGCTACAGCCACCCAGCTCTGGAGCTGCAGATAAACTCTGCAGCCCCCTACATCTGGGGCTAACAGCAAACGAATAATTTCTCACATCAGAGATTGAGTCCTCCCTGATGACTATACTGCACTGATCACTGCTCATGGAAGGGCTTAGCCATTTTTAGGACTGGGATGCCATAGCTCTTTTGCTCTCCCATACTAGCAGCAACAAGAAATCAGAATGGGATGATAACATTGAAATCATCAGAGTGACTTGATTTACAATGATTCTGGAGTCTTTGGCTGAAAAAGGAACTTTCCTGACTTCTTGTTAAAGCAGATTTAGGGGCACTTCACATCCTCAAGTGTCTTCCAGAAGCCAAACAGATAAAACAATCAGATTCCTGATACATCCAGAGTTCTAGGGTCAATTTCTATGGTCAAGTTTATTGTAAATTTATGACAAGAAATACAGGATATGATAATGCTATTCCATACCAAATGGAGGACAACAGTAAACTTTTCAGTAAACTATTACATCAGCAGACTGTAAGCAAAATTCCTAAGGGAGCTTGATGGCACAGTGAAACACACAGAATGAAAAAGGATGCTGCCCAGTGTGCATCAAGCACTGAAGCCTTTCCTGTAGCAAGGCAAGTAAATGACTGGAATAATGGCACATGACAGTAACCAGAGATGAGTGAACTTTAAGCTTTGGTCTTAACTCAAGCATGTTCTTCCATAGCTGCTATCACTACTGTTCTTCTAATGTGCTCTGGTGTCATTAATGACAAAGTAGACCCCATAGAAGTCATGGTTTAAATGTTGCTACCAGCATTTCAGCGGGAATTCTTGTGACAGCAGAAGTCCACTCTTCCATTTGGCCCATTTGAGAGTGAAACTGAAATAATTGCTCAGACTTCGGGAGGTCATTTTGGTACAGAAGAAGATAAAAGCAGAAAACGTTTACAATATGACTTGCAAATCAAAGCAAATAGGGATTCCACTCACTTATAATCCAAAGAAAGGAGACAATTATAAGACAAATACAGCACTGTTTGCTCTAGGCAATGTGATTGTATCTCTTGCCAACAACCTATACATTGAAAATTAAAGCATACAGCCCTTCATAAAAATATATAAGAAAAGAGAAAGAAAACATTATTTCCAAGAAAAGCCAGTGGTAACTGCAGCACCATGGACACTGCACTCAGTGTTTACCAGCACATTTTATCTCAAATATTTCAAAGTAATCAAAAGCATCCATTTAAATAGTTGAGAAACATTGATCTGTTATCATGTTCTCTTAATCTGGAAATTATTTAAAAAGCCCCAAATTAGTTTGCTTAATTATTACATCTATTATTCTATTTAACAAGGAAGCGTTTATTTTTAAAATATCATGACACAGAATGCTTTCAGGATAGAAATACACTTAATAACAAAAATTAAGTCCTTTTTGTTTTTAATGTAAAGTTTTCCTTTCAGTGAAAGCCCACTGTATAAAATCTAAGATCATATCAGTATGTCACTGCAAGAAAAAACTATCCTATATGTAAATAGAAAAATCCAAAGCCTAACTAATTAAATGCATTTTCATCACTCCAGTTATGAGGTACATAAAACATCGGGGAAGAGTCATTAAAACATGAAGAATTGTTGTTATTTTGACAGAGACAAGAACAGGGTCACAACTCTGCCATGTTAGCTAATGCTTACACCCAGAAATACACACAGTCAGCTGGATCCACACTAATGTTGAAATTAAGCAATCACACAAAAACAGGGCAAGAGCCTCATGGTAACTGAAGCTCAGCTACAAGCAGCATTGATTTTCCACTGCTTTAAAATGCAAATAAAACTAAAGAGCCAACACAGTGAAACCGAATAGGAGACAATCTGGGAAGGCAGAGGAGAGAGGTGGTATTGCTGCAGTCCGGTTTTCTATTTCACTTTTACAACACAACAGATCACAGCAAGCATTAAACTGGAGGGTCAAATTCCATCACAAACAACACACTGCATATTGCATTTTTAAAACTGTTTCAGATCATTATATAGGCTGTCCTATTTACACATCAGGCCTCAATATCCTTTAATTATTATTTTTGCTTCCTCAAAGGTGTACTGATAGTGGTTAAATGATAGAGCAATCTTTCTTAAAGGAAAGATTTCCCATTAGCAATTCCATAGAAGTAGGGCTACATTAAATACATTTATTTCAAAACAGGTTTAAAATAGAGTCTGGCATACGTCCAGCAAAAAAAACCCCACACCTGCATTTTTATTATTGGACACAGAACCAGTCCTATTAAACTCAGTGAGAATATGCATCTACATTTACCAAGAGAGTACAATTTTTGCATAAACAAACAGGGCTCTGAAATTTAATTTAAAGGGGACTTTATGCTGAGAAGCCTTAAGCCCTTTATCACAAGGGTAGAAAGGTGGCACTTACTTTTCAGGACAAGTGAGGGAAACAAACTCAGCCTCGTTGGTTTTTGAACCACAAGGATGCCAAGTGTTTGCCCTTCAATAGCACAGCAGGTGCCCCACTCTTCTGACATATCCGTGCTACCAGTCAAAAGGAAGTATTTTTCATACTGTCATACTTTTGGTTAAAAGTAACTTTTAAATTAACTATGTAAAAACTAACTATGTAAAATTGACTCATGTATTCATAACTTTCAAAAATTAATGTTTATTCTGGAGTCATCTTTCTGTGATTAATGGATAAGTTAATGCACATGTTGCAATAAATATGTAATTGGCCAGGATAGTTCCATGAATCCCAAATCCTCAGGTCAAGTGTTTTACATTATGCTTCCAATTCTGAAAATGTCTTTGTGTTTCTGTTTCTCTGATAGAATATGTACTGCTTTTAAGATGTGAAACTAGATATATGCACACATAATTTGACTTGTCTATACCATACTATACTATACTATACTATACTATACTATACTATACTATACTATACTAGTCTAGACATAGGTGCTATAATTTTGTTGAGTTTGCATAAAAAAACCACAGGATTTTCACTAACTTTTGGGCTAAACCTCATACCTGGTGCTGATCTGGCACTGTTTAAGGCTTTTAATTAACTGCAAACAAAGTAAATGCACTTCCAAGCAAACAGTTCTCAGGATCTACATTTGGGCACCCACGTTTCAAAGAGACATATTTAAATTAATATTTCATCCAGTTTTACATTTAATCCAATTCATTCAGTTTTGATCTAAACCAGAAGTCTTAAAAGAACCAATGAATTATATTTTCTTCCTCCCTAGCAGAGACTCAAATCAAATGTGTGGAAGACACATTTTGTACTGTCCCATCATTAGTGACTTAGAGCAATGCAGAGAAATTTCAACAAAGGTTACAACCAAAAATTAGGGGAGTAAAATAGAACTAGGTAAGTTACTGAAAGTTGAGAGTGTTCATTTGGTGAGTTTCTTCATCTGATACACACTACCTATATTCTAAGGTCTCCCACAAGTAGTTAATAGAAAAAGAATTTCAGCTGCTACACAAATTGGACTTAAGGATGATAGAGTGCCTTGTGAAATGCATCAATATGAAATAACAAAATAATTCCCAGACTCAGAAAGGATAATGGAAACTCCTAGCACCCAAGTTTATTAAAAAAAAAAAAATCTGCACTGTGGAAGCAAAATAAACTTTAAAAAATCAATGAAGAGAAAACATCTAGATCTGGTTTTGTTGCTCCATTGTTGTTGTCTAAGGCTTGAGGGAAGGTATTGCTTCCTCCTCCTGCTTGTACTACTAAGAAATCTTCCAGAATACAAGTCTCCTAAATCCTCTGCCTACAAACAGATGCACACTTAGGCGAATCAGATGAAAATGCACATACCTCTGTTTGGGGACTAGGAAGAGTCCACTCGAACATTTTCTTTTCCTTTAAAAAATGCTCTTACAAAATGCCTCTTAAAAGTATTTTTGTGCTTCTCTGCTAATAATAGCGTATAGGAAGAAGCCCTGGAAGTTGGCAGCAGGTATTGCTGCATGTTTTGTATCTCAGAAATACAAGTATGCCAAGAATTTTCATCTGTGTTTTCACTGCAGAAATCCCCAGATTTCTAAAGGGGAAAAAATTGTTTCATTCCTCTGCTAGAGGATATATTGCCACACATCTACTATGGCAAATAATAAACAGTTTTCAGGATTTTGAATTAGACAACAGATGACTTACTTTTAAAGACATTAGAAGAAAAAGCTGCTGCAACTCTCTTTTTTTTTAGAATAATCTGAGAAACTGAAGATACCATTTTAGCATAAAAGACAAGTGGAAAATCTTCTTCCAAAAAGGAAAATACCAAACCCCACCCCCACACACCTACAGGCCTATTTTAGATCTTTTTTTTAATATACAACAAAGCAAAAATAATGATCAAACAGAACTTTTTTTGCAACGTAGAACATAATTTTACCATTAGAGAAAGCGCTGCTGAAATGGAGAGACTTGTTTTTCATACAAGCAGCATTTAAAATTTGCACTTTACAGCAATTCCACTGGAAAATGGTGGAGGGAGTAAGACAACCTTCACCAGGCAAGTACTCCCACATGTGGTCTCCACATAAAAACCCTGATGCTATCCCACATGTTGTCTCCACATAAAAACCTTGAGGCTATCAGCTGCCCAGAGACATTAGCTGGAAACTGAAGCCTTGTGTCACAGCCAGGTGAACTTGTCTTCAGGTCAGCAGGAAGATTTACTGGCACTCACACCAGGATACACCAACGCCAAGGTGAGAAGTGTTTGACATAAATATGTGAGATATTGGAGCCCTGCCAGCTCCTCCCACCTGAAGTGGCTTCTCTTGGCTGAGCCGGCCAGGGTCCAGCTCAGCAGCCTGGACTTACTGGGAGATGTGAGTTATTGGGGTCAGCAGAGTCTCGCCCTCCAGGTCAAGCTCATCGGCGAAGCTGCTGGTCCTGATGAAGGCTCCTGTGTTCACATCTAGGAACGCTGGGCTCTTTTTCACTGTGGAAAAACACATGCAGATGACAGTTCAAGCAACAGCATTTGACTGCTGCTTATCTGGACCTCTGAAATACTGTACGTTTTTAAAGAATAACGAAAGCAAAAGTCGCTACCAAAATTGCACTTACTGCAGGAGTTCACAAAAAGCAAAATTTTAACTCTTCCCAAAGCATTTGAACTTCTGGTGAAGATTAATATTTTATTCTTTTTTTTGATGTTGTTGTTGTTGTTCATACTCCTGATGTGGGACACATATTGAGAAAGTAAGAAAATTACAGCCTGAAAAATATTCCAGGCTGGAGCTTCTCAGCTCTGTTCCCAGCTGATAAGCTGGTCCAGCTCAAGGCTCGGGAGAATTTCTCCCAGGGTGATCATTTGGTCAAAATAAAAAGGAATTAATAACAAAGATAGAACACCTGTTGTGGTGTGTGCCCAGGCCCTGGCAATGGGGTGTCTTCTCTCTGAACCAATCACCTTTTCTCTACTCTTGGAGTTGCAGTCATGCTATAAAACCAAGTGTGTTTGTGAATAAACTTGGCTCTTTCTTCCTGTCATGACAGACGACCACGTAGCTGTGCATCTTATTTCCACCGCGCTTAAAGGGTTAAAACTCCTTTCCACAGCTACACTCCTGATACACTAGAACATTCAGAATCTATATATATCTACAGAGGGCTTCATGCATTATTAAGAGACAATTTGCTGGTTCCCTCTCACAATAAGACACAAGGCCACCTCATCTTTGGGCTCAGAATTAGGACAGGTGGCAAGATCTCCAGTTCATTCCAGACAAGTTCTTGCTGGGAAGGTTGATTCACAAAACTTCAGATATTGAAAGTTTTACTGGCACAGTTACTTGCAGATCATCGCTTTCACAGATCCAAGAAATCAGGGAGAATGTTACAGTTTTAATTTTTTAACTCAGGCTCTGAAATTCTGTCAGATACTAACATTAAGAACACCAAGTGCTTTTACCAACAAGGCCCTAACATTTGTTAGAGAAGCCACAATATTTGAATATAGACAAAACCACTGGTGTGGTTCTGTAAATGAATTTAGAGAAAATAAAACTTGGTAACATTCCAAATAAATCACAGGTAATTGTGACAAGTCCACAGAAACCTTTGTCTGTCCATCTGGCTGGAATAGTCAATAAAACAATTATAATGTAGTAGTAGTTTATGAAAGCTCTACTGTAGTAAATAAAGTATTTCATAATATAGCAGTAAATAATGCCCTGCCAAAAAGCTGCACAAAATGTAAAGGAATACAACATAAATAGATAACTTAAATGTAGGTGGTATTTTCAGAGAACAGAAGTGGGAATATCAGGAAACAATTATTTTTCCTTTAATGTAACCATTTCACTCAGGTAATGGGGTATTTTCATATGGCAGAAATGGATTTGAATTAAAAAAACCCCAAACAAACAAAAAAAACCCGAAGAGAAACTATTAGTTCATCATTAAGCACATGGCTGTCCAAAACTACAAAAGGAAAGTCTCTGTACTCCAGAAGTTGTAATAGGAAAGGATGACCTCTGAAATAATAGTTTTAAATAAACAAATAACTAACTACATAAGCAAAGACAACTGCTAGGAGATGCATTCACTAAAAGCAGGATCCACTTGTAGCACTTTAAAATTAAAATTTTGTAGTAAGTTTTAGCAAGCATTAATTTCTATTTTTGCTTTTAGTATCATATTAATATTATAGTATCATACTATTTAATCACTTTGCTATAGCCATCATTAAAAAAAAAATGGCTGTGAAACCATCAAAATAATTCCAGCTAGAGATGTGCAGTGAAATGTCTTTCAAACAGACTTCTTTGGGCTTTCACTTAATTAATTTTCACTGTTTTCATTTCTACAAGACATAAATGAAACTTGCCCAGTTTCTAGCAAATAAGGACTCACAAATGATTTTGTTTTCCTGATGGCAAGTGATAAAAACTGCTGGAGCTAAGGGCATGTAAAGGGTTTGCTGAACACTCACTAGGCTGTGCTCATACATACACATACAGCAATTCTTGCACCAGCCACAGCTACTGCTCAGCCTATTTGAAAGAATTCTTGTGTGAGCACACAGAGAGCAGGAGCTGATTAGTATGAGGCAAACATGGTATCTCCTCCCCTCTGTTTTAAAAATTTCTGAGCTCATCATAACTAAGAAAAGAACACAGCATTAATGAGAGTTTCTCTGGGTCAAAGTGCTTTAAAACAGGGCTCAAGCAGAAGACCAGGGAGCTTATTTTTTTAACTTATAAAAATAAATTCATAGCCATTAGGCTTTGGACAAATCTTTCTTAGAAAGCAGTGTTAAAAATACTAAAAAAAGACACAATTTCTAAGTGTGAAGGCTAAAGAGAAAAATAAAAAGACAGCTTTAGACACTAATTTTCAATGGGTAATAATGGGTGAATTTCAACACTTGCAATTTACAACCTCAACAACCTCCAAACTCAAAATTCTACTGAAACAGCTGTTTTTAGAAACCAGCTCTAAAATTTTTTGTGCCACAGCAGACAGCTCCAGACAGAGCATTGCAGAGATTTAGTAATTAACAAAGGTGATGAGAAATGATGGAACAATGGAATATTATGAGCTTTACCTGGAGAGGAAGGAGCGCTGGAAGACTGCTGGTCTGTGGAAAAGGATGGCCAGGAGCGCTGACAATCTGAGTCAGAGTGAAGATGCACATGAAACAGAGATAGGAGAGAAGACCAAAAAAAAATACAAAAGAAAAAAAAAACAAAAACAGAAGCTCCAGACAGACAGCTGAGGAGATGCAGACACACCTAAAATTTAGTATGTTCTACCTGACACAAAATTAAAAATACTGTAGAAAACAGTGTATAAAACTGTACAAAAGTGCATTACACATTGGCAGAACGTTCAGTCACCACTGTGGAGGTGTCAAGGCTTCTCGAAGCCCATTTTTCATGGCAGTGTCAACTGCTGCAGGATATTCCTTCCTACAGGCCAGTCTCTGCTTGCTCCTTTCCTCCAGGCTTCTGGGCTCCTCAAGTCTTTCCCTTTCCTAAGTGTCCAAGACCCCTCTTGCTCTGGGTCACACTGTTCACACTGCAGCTCCCTCCTGCTCAGACTTCACTGCTGCCACGTGCATGGGGCAGTTTGGACACCCACATTTGAAACTTCCAAACACATCCAATAAAAAAGTTTTTGAAGCTGCCCACTTCAACTATGTAAACCAAGTGCCTGCCTCAAGCTGAATTTCTTGGGGAAATGTTTCAGGCAAGTAAGGGGAGTCAGTTATGAGGGAGTGTCAGCAAAACACAATCTTTACATTGTGTTTAGTTCATTTGAATAGCATTATGCTATTAATAACTATTTCATTAAGAAGTGTCTGTGAATTCACATACTTGGACAGACCGGTATTTTTCAGGAATGGTGCCTTACTTTTATGCAATGAGAAAAATTCTAAAAATAAAAAAACGCATTGGAGTAAAGGAAAAAAAAAAAAAACAAAACAAAAAACTCTTTTTGCAAGTGTTCTTTCAGTGCTACACACGTGTCCTGGCTCCACCCAGAACAGGGTTAATTTTTGCAGTAGCCAGGATGGGCCACAGCTCCTTAGGTTTTTGTTGAACTGATGTTGCCAGGAGAAAGAAAGGAGGGAGAAAAGCTGGAAATCTCTGGTTGCACAAAGATACTGGCAGGGGAGCCAGATGAGGGATCCAGCAGTGTGAAGAAAAAAGTACAAGTGGGCAGCCCAAAAATGTACTGAACGTGAGAAAGCAGCATATGGATATGTTACTAGAGCCTTTCTGAAGGCCAAATTAAAGCTGAATGAGTATCCTTTATCCTTGTACTTTCTAGTTTCTTCCTTCTGAGCTTTTGACTTGGCATCTCCAGTTTTCTATGTAGGTAATCTTTTTCACAGTAAGAAAGAAAACATTCCTATTTCTTTGAGCTGCTGTGAGAACAGTGTTAGATAACCTCAGGTCCACTGAGCTCTGGCTGCCTGGCTGGGACACAGAGACAGAACCTCTGATGGCTGGTAAAGCTCCTCTGCTATTTCCCCAAGATGAAGGAATTTCTTGCTCACATAAAACAGGTGATTTGTTTGGTGGCTCTCGCTGCCCTCCTGATCTTGTTCCACCATGTCCATCCCCAACAGAGATGCACCTCTTGGAATGGTGGAAACTCAAGGATTATCAGGGGAGACAAGGAGACTGAGTTTGGTTTTGCTGTTTGAACACCCTAATTGTACCTGTGTCCCATGTGGGTTCAGGGATGAAACTGAACCTTGCCACTTCAGTCAACTGAATCCCAGCCTGGCAATCCTTGCACTCGGTCACTGGAAGGAAGCCTCTGCTGCTTGCAGTGATTTCAGAGCAGAAAATTTACAGGTGGCTCATAGCACTCTCACGAAATCACAGAGGTCTTTTCCACAGACCTGGCTCTAATCCTACTGTCTTTGGGGAGCACTCAGTTTTTAAGAAAGTGCCTAAGCAAGCACATTAGAAACATCACAAGAGTGCATGGCTGCTTAAGTGATCACAGAATCCAGACAAACAGTAAAATAAATTATTTAATTTATGGGTCCCCATCTGTTCACAAATATCTACAGCACATTTTTACAGGAACAGATGCATGTACTTCAGAATGTACAATACCAGGGGGTCAAATTTGAAAGTTTTCTCCCATCCTAGTACAGTTATTTAGAAATTAATTCGCACCATATGCTTATATAACTACTGGATGAATTATATTTTATTTATTAGGGAATTATCTTTTTCTGTTGGTTATATATACACATGGACAATTTTTCTCAAGAATAAAAAAAATTAGAGGTCATCTATTTATGCAAATGAGTGCTTACTTTTCTCTTTGCAATGAGACTGGGTGCAGTTGTGATGACAAGTGTGAGAATGTACATTTTGTGTCTGTCTAGATCTCCTTGGCTGCAAAATATTTCTTAGAAATTATATGGCACTAGACACACATGACAAGCACTGCAAACATTACACTGTCATAAGCTAGCATGCCACAAAGAGAATTATTTTCCTCAACTTACCAAGCAATTTTAACTTTCCTTTTTGTCCTGTATACTTGTAACAGTTTACAGAGGAGAACACAGATAAAAAAGAGAAAAGATAAGTGTCAGAAGAAATTAGAGAAAATCCTTTTACTGAAAGCTACAGAACTGATTTTTGAAATGCCAGTAGTAGGCTGCAATCAAATTGTGTTGTCCTTAATCAGCTCAGAAATTTAGTGGTAAAAGGTGGGACTTTACAACTCTAAGCATTTGTAAGGTTCTGTCATTTGACTGTTTTGAAGAAAGGTGTCTGTACTCAAATTTTGAGACACAACCTTAGCTCAGTACTTGTCCACCTTTTAGCAGCTATGTCATTTCTACCACCAGATGCAATTTGCAGCTATTCTTTAGCAGAAGCCAAGAAAGTAGAAAAGCATGGATGATGCAGAACACAACACAAGCACACTAAAATGTACACAGAAGGCACGACTTTCTGCTTGAATGAAAATATGCCCAGTTCCAGCCCATGTTGCTGTCTGATTTTAAAGTCCATTAAATTCACGTCATGTCAGCGAAATTTTTGAGGAGAAAAAACATAAGTACTTAAGGATCTATAATCAATAAAACACACCTTAAAAATTAAACCTTCCTCTTATTGCCAAAATTTGAGTGATACATTAAAAACTTCTAATAAAAGTACAGTTGTAAAAATGCCATACTGTAAATTCCGAGTTATTTTGGAAGTTCAGTACAGCAAAAGTAAATATAAATAAGCTATCAATGATAAAGTGATTACCAATGTCCTGTCTTCTTTTTCCTCATACTGTACCATTTTGTACAGTGACATTTAATACAGATGGATCCACATTTATCTTAAGTACTTCTGCTTTCAAAAGTTGATTCACAGCACTGAGCAGATGGCATGAGGACATGATGGTTTCATGTAGCAGACTATGTTTGGTGCAGCCAAGGCACACCAATCCTTCTTGGTTCAGGTACAAGCACAATAGTAACACATCCTGGGGAAATTTCACATGGAAAAGCTGACAGCTAATCCCTGTAATTTCAATCAATTGCAGAATTAGGGAATGTATGCACCAGCCTAAGAGTCACAAGTCTTCCAGCAGGCAGAAATGAGAAATGATTTAATTTGTCTGCAGTGGAGCATGCTCATTAAAGCAATGGTTAAATCTCACCCAGACAAGCCAGCAACCAAAGGCAAAAAAGCAAAGTATTTTTGCTTTAGAATGATAAGAGTTTGTTCTTTCCTTCTTTATTACTCATACTAAAAAGGACCTGTATGCAAATATAATCATAGAACTCATCACAGCTACTGGCATTTTATAATGGAGTTTCTTACCAGAATTTTCAAATGGCTCAAAACTGAAATCAGGTTTCCTGTCCTCTGCCACGTGGTCGTAAGTGATGTGTGGTATAGCCAACATCCTGTCTGGAGAAGAAGGCCCATTGTCCTTGTCTAACTTAAATTTCTTCTTTTTAACCTAAAAAAACCCACATAAATTAAATTACTCCAACTAAGTCACATGGAGCTGTCTCTTCAGTGATGTCTACAATAATAACACAGTCCCCAATGAGCTATAACCAATTAAGAATGCCTGAATTACATTTTCATGATCCTACACTGTGTTTCTCATTATGTTGACCCCTCATCCTGCCAAAACTGGCTAATCACTAGATTTCTGCACATTGTCATTTCCAAATCCCTTGCCTGCAGTAAAAATCGAAAATCTGCTAGTTATGCAGCAGCTTATATAAATCAAACTGTTCTAGAATATCTTTATCATTTTATGTATGGATGCAATAAATCACACCCTCAGCACAAAGCCAATGGATATACTGCTACTGAACTCAGATGAACCTTGGAGATATGAGAGAAGATTTTTAAAGCACAACATCCTCCCCTTCTAGCTTGAGACTGCTGTGCAAGACTCTTATGATAACAGAGGATGGTGTACTACCTAATGCAAAGATTCTGACAAAAGGTTTTTGTTGCTGTATTTAAAACAAAAAATTCTGAACTTACAGAATGTGTTGATATGACAATATTACTATTTGTAGGCACAAGAAGTCTTTACCATGAAAGCTTAGAAAATCACAAAATCAATTGCTGAGGGAAACAGAAGTTTTGTTGGGTTTTGTTTGCTTTAATCAATTCAAAGTTACTATTCTGGAAATGGTGATTTTTTTTTTTTCACCTTTCCTTATAGTTTTCCAAACAACAGTGGTAAGTAACTGACTGATGTGCCTGAATTAGGTCATTATTACTCTTTTCCAAACCCTTAGATCCATCAAAAAAGTCAAGCCTGGGGAAATTCAGCAAATCAACTTCTACTTTATAATCCTTTTATATTGAAACTGTCAAAACCGAAATGTAAATGAAAATCTGAAACCAAGTAATAATCTGGAAAATAAGTAGAACAAATAATCTCTAGAGAGTAAAAAAATTCAATCCAATTTAAATTTTTTAAATTACTATAGTGCAAAACATTAGTTATTGATACCATCACCGATTTCTTTGGTTTTGGACTGGGTGAGAGCAGATGATAATTCCTGGCAGGTTTTCGAATGTATATTTTCCATGTAGAAGAGTCTGGGTTTTCTGCAGCGTAGCATCTCCATGCAGTCTGGAACAAATGTTTTAAGTAACAGAATCATTGATCAATCAAATTAGTGGCTCACTGCACAACACAGTAACTTCCAAGCAGCATGTCAGTCATTCTTTATTTAATGATATTCTTGAATTTGCCCTCTGGAAATAAACTCAGCATAGTTTAGAACCCTTGTTTAGTAAATAAAAACCACATAGTTAAAACTGGGAAAGCACACAGAAAGATAAGTCTTTTCAAGTGCAACTTTTATTCTCAGTAGCAAGAAACAAATAATGAGAGAGAACTCTAGATTGGACTTAAAAAAAGGTCCAAATTTCATGTTCTGCCCCAATTTCCTACCTGACTTTAGGCATTTTGCCTATTGCATCCTGTGTTACAGGCAAGATATATTACTCAGAAAAAGACAAAAATTGTTCTTTCATGCCTCACAAAAATACTACCAGAAAAAAGAAGCAATTGTGATGTGGTCAGTAGGGATTTATTTGGATGAAGAAATGAAACTGAGGGCACAACAGAATAGTACCAGTGGTTAACCAGGAGCCAAAACCCAAACCCAGTCCTCCCTCTTGCCAACCACCAATGATTAAATCCCATGATCTATGGCAAAAGGGAGGAAAAGCGGGGCCAGGAAACAAGACCAACAAAAAAGCACTACTGCATTCTCTCTTAACTGTGTAAATATCAGAATTAATTAATTATGAGTGTCCAAATTAAAAAGGCAGATCCTCGCTTACTACATAAAGGAGGACACACTTATACACAAACAATCTCAAGTATGGAAGGCCAGAAAACCCTAGATGAGAGAAACAAAGCAAGGCAGAATGAGAGGGGAACACAGACAGCAGCTGGAAAGTAAAGACAATCACCATCTAAATCCCTCCAAGATTAACAAAATAGGGGAAGAAACAAATGACCTCCAGAAGAAACCAAGAAGGAATACAAGAAAAGAAAATTACTCATCTGGGCTGTTCTCTTGTCTTGTAACTATTTTGTAAACACCTTGGTTTAAGAACAATATTTTTATAAGTCATTTGTAGAGCACTTACTGAACTGGGCTTTCAGAAGTCTGAGACTATTAGCAAATTATAATTACAACTATTAAGAACAGGTACTCAGCAACTCATTGTCTATCCTGTACTCCTCCTTAACATTTCTGATGGAGCCAAGCACAACATTCTGGACATGCAGTCTCAGGCTTCCCAAAGATTTGGTGTTCATTTCCCAAAAGAATCAGTGGGAGCATTAAAAATATCCATTCTTTACAAAACCATACCCTACGAGTCTCAAGACTTTTAGCTAATCTCTGGCTATAACCAGAGTCTTTTTCACATTAACTCTGGGACTGTTTAGTTTCAAGCATAAACTTTACAGTCAGCTACTGTTTCCATAAAGATCCTGACCTGGAAACCCACATTCACTCATGAAGCTGGAGAAATAAGTCATATGAGAAAGAAAAAATGATATGGTGTACATCGAGTTTCCTTTTAAATTTCATCTCTGTGTTTCTAAAACTATGTGCAGGTACTGAGTAGAGGGAGGAAAAGATGAAAAAGCCTAGAATGAAACCATGTAAATACTTCTCCAGGGTGCAATGCTGGATCCAATGAAGTAAAGGATAAAATCTCCTTAACCATATTGATACTGAACTGCAATTGCATTTATAACAGGGGGATCAATATTTTCCTGCCTGTCAATCATCCTACACGAAAAGATTGATTTCACAGAATCCCAGTGGTTCTCAGTCACCTATTCTAGACCTGAAAAGCCCAAACAACGTTTTCCTATTTAAGATTCTGATTTATTTCTCTTTAAATATGAGATTTTTAAGAATTTACTTGTCCCAATTGAATCATAGTTGACATTCGTCTTTACAAGCAACAATGCGTTTTTTAAAAGCACAATTCTACATGAAGTCTCCTCTTTGTTCTTTTCATTACTACAAGCACAACATTTCACAACATTTTCCCCAGGCAAATTGTTTAAAAATTACAGGATAACTTTCAGTTTTGATTTTAACCAGCTTAATTAAGCAGTTTACACTGATTTGGGAGTGTACTTTTCTGCTCATTAGTTTACATTAACGATTGGATTTCCAAAACTTGCATCCGTAGCTCCTGTACAGTTTTTAATAGGAATTAGGGAGGGAAAAATTGCCAACAGCTTGGAAAAAAATCAACAAAAAACCTACTATAAATGGAAAGAAATGACAGTATGCAGTATGCATGAACTCAGTACCTGTATGAGTGAGGCAGCAGCTGGAATCTGACGGTTGAAATGCTTCTGTCTTTGTTTCTGTTGTACCTTTAGGGCAAAGCCTGAACCAAGAATTCCCTGTGGAAAAAAAACAAACCTTTTTTTTTTTTTCCTTTTTTTTTAAGAGTGGAGGGAAAGAACTATATGTAAAATTGCCAAATTATGTTGTGTTAATAAAATTCTATTCAGCATCATAAAACCCAACTAATTATTTAGAGGAAATGACTTAATACAGTGAAATTTTTAGTCTCAGTTGTTATTACTTACTGAAGCAAACTGTGAATGCTATCATGCCCTGATGTAAAGCCTGCTGGACTCAGACTCCAGAAAGGAAACAGAAATGATATTTCATACCCTCTAAAAGTCTCACAAAAGCTTCTTTAGGGGAATGGCAGAGTAGAGGGGAAAAAAATCAACCTGATGAGCTTAACTACATATTTATGAGAAATAAAGCTTTGGCAGGTCGTGATGAAAGCCACTAGACCTTTTAACTGTGCTATGGTAATTTCTATTTCCATATATTAATCCATGGTGGGAGTGAGGAAAGAGGACGAAGAAGAGAAAAAGACATATTTCAAAATGGTCAACTGAGTTGTACAGAAAGCCATCTAATTCACTCTCAGGACAAAGGGACATGGACTAATGGCACTGGATGGTGTGAAACCCAAACTAGACTCCAAATGTAGTATAAATATGAAGTTCAAATTTAAGTAAAGAGCAAGCCATTTATGTGGTCATTTGTACAGGTATAGGCATATATAACAAAACTTTAATAACAGGTGAAAATGAAATCTTCTATAAATCAGTTTACACGATTGTACCTACTCAAGGAAAGCACAATTCTTTTCCTACACATAGTAGAAGGCATCAGAGCAGCCAGGGATCTTGGCTCAATGTCTAAGAACTCTTTTAATCATTAAATATTTTGAAAGGAAGATTAAATACTCTTCCTATTATGTTCAGTTAGTAAAAATCAAAGAGATGACGATGCTCAAACAGCACATTTTTGGGAAATGAGGGATCATTGCCTGATCCAGAACCCACACCAGTTGGGTTTAGCCACTACAATCACTTTTGACTGTGATCTCAGCCAGATCCTCTTACTTAAAACACCAACAAGACAGCCTGAAATAGAGCTTCAAACCCCAAATTCCCCCTTGGGGCAACTCACAGGAACAACTTCACTCAGTAAGGAAAATCCCACTAATAAAGGGGTGATTGGTGTTGTTCTGCTTCAACAAAGATTAGGGAAATCTGACATGCAAACATAAAACATGGCTGTGAAGGCACGGCTGCTACACAATCATTTAAAAAACATTTTTGTAGCATTTTAGACTGATTAAAAAAAAACAACCAACCTCAACTAAACCCAAACAAAACGAACACCCCACCACCAGCACTCTTCAATCAAAAAAAGTAGGTTTTGGCATTTTCCATACCGATCATTTCACTTATCTGATTTCTCTTCTAAAATAAAAGTGTAAGATATTAGAATGAGGAGAGGGAGAATCATATGCTTTAAAGGAAAACTGATGCTGGAGAATTAAAAAAACTTAATTATCCTCCTCTGTAAAAGGTTATGTACCTTTAAAGTAGGAAACTAATTGTAAAAGGTCACTGGAGCTTTGGGAGCTACTATTTCACACTGTGAAGAACTTTTTATGATGGTACTTGCATAAAAGTATTCTTATCTGTTCTGTACCATCCCCACCAGTTCTTCATTAGAACTACACAAACATCTGCTAATACAACTGCTATTGTCCCTGAACTGAAAAAATAAACACATAAACAGAACGCTTCAGGTGGCACAAACATTTTAACAACACAATTCAAGAGTATTGCCAGATTTGTGGAAAACACAGCCTTAACTACCCCTGGCACTGAATATTTGGGTTTTCAAGCTGCAGTCCAAGTTTTGCTGATTTTGAATTTACTCTTGGTACTCAAGTGCCCTGTTTCTTTTCTGAAAGCACTCAGGAACCTGTTTTCAGTGCAAACATAGTGCCAGAACAGCTTTGAAAGGTCAGCTCTAGGTCACTTTTGAAAACATTACTTTGGCCATGGACAGACATTAATTTTCTGAAGAACTTCATCAGTGTCTCTGGCTGCTGACTGCTGTCCTTCTGCCAGTGACATCTTTTTGGAAGCTTTTCTAGAAGAAGGATGTACATGAGAAGTCTCCAGTTCACCTTGGAGAATCAGTTGAATAAACTATGAGTGAATGCCTTAAAAAAAACACAGCATCACTAAGTCATCACTAAGAAGTAATTAGAAATAATTTCCTTTACACTTCTGAGATAGGCTGGGACAATGACTTGGAATTAAATATCTCTGTCTTAAATACAAATCCTTCTCAAATCTAGCACTGCATAGAAACACCACTGCATATTTATTTAGCTTCTTCTAGATGCTCGTTTGTTTCTACAAGCTACATAAATTTCAGCTACAATATAGAAGCTTAATACAAAGCTTACACAACACCAGGTTAAACGAAAGGTTAAAGAATCAATAACAAAAGTCCTCTCTGGTAACTAATGAATCAACATCAAACTGTCACAAAAGTATAAGATAACCTACCGCAGGCAGTGCAAAAAATGAGATTGCAAACACTGAAAAACAAGATGCAATTGTCTTTCCTATCCAGGTCTGTGGCACTTTATCTCCATAGCCAATAGTTGTAACAGTCACCTGCAAAGAGAAATAAAGAGGGCATTACAGCAAGTATTAACAGGGCACTTTGGGCTTGTTGCTCTCTCTTCCTTTATAATTTATTTCAAAGAAGCATTAGCTGCATTCCTAACTTTCCCACTGTCAGTCCATGTGACACTACTGAAGGTTAACTCTTCTTTCCAGGTTTGCTTCCCCACCTAATACTGAATGGAAAAACATACACGAAATTGAATTACAACTAAATATGCATTTAAATCTTGCAAAATAAAACCATTAACTGAAGTCTTCACGGCTGAAGGAACTGTACAGTTACTGGGATAGGGGTTGCCTGCCCATGTCACACGCTTTCCTCGGGGAAAGGCTGCCAGCAGTCCTGAGCTGGTTTGGTTTATGGGCAGGAGAGGATGCCGAGGATGCTGCAGGACTGCTGCATGCAAAGGGCACACACACTCTGTAACCAGGCACTGCCACTGCAGATTACATGGCTACAAACAGCAAGAGGAAACCTTCCCGTGGAGCAAAGACCCTGAAAACAGCCTAATGAATCACCAATTCATAAAAAACACCGAGAGCAGGAACAGATCATTTAAAGCACACATGCAGGAAACATCTGTTGAGTTTGCCTTTCAGAACTCTGAAGTGAAGATTACCACCACAGTGATGTAGCATAACAAGGCTTAATAAGTCATTATTTGCATGAGCTCAAGGAAAGAATGTATTTGCTTGAAGCAGAAGGATACATTTGGCATCTGAGAGCAATTTAAATTCACCTATGTCACCAGCTATTTCTGAATTTGTAAATTAGAGAGATTTTTATCTGTGACTTCGAGGAAGGCTAACCAGACCAGAGCATGGGAAACTACATGGAGCCCTCGAGCAACTGAGACATAGCTCGGTTGTTGGCTGGTCAGAATTTCTTCTGACACTGTGGGCTTCAGCTGCCCAGGACACAGACACTGGTCCCACAGTCACACACACCATCCCCACCTTGTCCTCAGCTTGTCCACCCTCTAAGCAAAGTCACCGTGTGCCAGCCAAACACACAACAAAAGGGGCAGCTCGAGGTGGTGATGTTTGTTGCAAGTTTCTTGCTGGTTGCTGACACTCAAAACATTCAAGTATTAGTTTTTAATTTTTAATACAAGTTTTTAAAACGTGGCCTTTTTCTAAAACTGCTTCATACCCCACAGAAGCATTGTAAGGGTTAGTTAACTACCTGAACATTTCTGCCTGTATTCCTGAAATTGTTATTAAAATTCCACCTTAATTCAGGACCTGATGAGGTCCTGAAGGGTGATGTTACCTCCTTACCTACATAGGAGGGTGGCCTGAAAAAAAAAATCCTGATTACAACTTTTTTTTATGGAATAAAAAAGGAAATACAAAGTATAGGAAAAGTTATGGCATCCAATGACTTCTTACAGAGAAGATGATGAGAGAAAAGAATGGTTTATGTTTCTGTTTTTGAAAAAAAATACAAATCCTTGTAAGTGAAAAATTTTATCAACTATTTTGTGATAGAGTCTTAAAATCATGTTAAAATACACACATTAACCAGAAATGTGAAAAGAAATAGGTGCTTTTGAACTGGCCAAAGTATAAATGAAGAAGAATTTATATACCTTGAAGTATTTGTCTCTCCCACCACATCCCTGCTCCTGCCTTCTGAATTGGTTTATATGAATCATCATTAACACAAAAAAGTATTGCCTATGATGGTTGTCAAGGAGGCTTTTTTAAAAGAAAATTTTGGAAACTGGGTTGCAAATCAAAGTGTGCAGTTAACTTTTTCTTCTACTCTTATAACTCTAAACTATCTACAAATGCATTGTATTCTGAAATTACATTTTCTTTTTTCCCCAAAATATATGCTGTTGAAACCTTACATGCCAAGTTTCTGCCCTAAGTCATTCTTTACAGCTGGGTTAAAACTCCCCAAAGAGCACAACACTAATTTTACAATTGTAAAAGAGGATATTATAATGGAAATACTGACTCAACTTCTACTCTAGCATAGTAAACATGTTGGCATAATGAAATTAAATTGATACAAGAGCTCACACAATGAATTTCATTGAAAAGCAGCCTGTAAAACAATTGCTTTAATGAGGAACAAAACCCTATTCATCCATTGACTATTTTAGAACTTTGATCTGATTAACATCACCACAGATTTAGGCATTAAGAATAATGTTGTTCTTATTAAATATGCATCAAAAGTCTGAATGGATGAAAATGAAGTAAAAACCCACCCAGAAAGAAGAAATAGTAACGTTCATCAGCACTGAGTAGGGAAAGGATTTTATTTTAGGTTATATCAGGCTAAAGTGAGCACAAGAAACTAACGAGGTAAGTAAGGATGTTCTGTCTATGAAACCCTTGCTGTGTACCTGGGAAAACTTGGATAGTTAAACAGCTGCAAAATACAATAATCTCTAGCTATAACAATATCTACATCTGTACTTTGCAAGTAACAATTTTAAAAGGCTTCTTCACATCTACCCCATAATAGTCACTGCCTGAGAACAAAATGTAGTTGGAACCTCTCACAGAGTTAAAGCTCAGAGACAAGAAGGCAGCTGCAAATGGAAGAGATGCCTCGCAAAGAGCATTTAAAAATATCCTCATCTTTCCACTCCTGCTCCAAAACCTCCTAAACTAAACAACTCACCCTCAGAAGAATCCAAACACATCATCCCCAAAATCTGAATTTTTTTTTTTAAAAAGGATGTCACAGGTGTATAGTTGGTACACTTGAGTTGCAAACCACATAGAAACTAAAAATGGCATGTCCCCTTCTGCCAAACACTGAAGTCAGTGTACAGTTCTCAACAGTTTTTTAATTGAGAAGGGGGGGGAAAGGGTTCTGAATAGCACAAGATCCACAAGATCACTTTTCATTAAGCTATTTTTAAAAATTTATGTCCAACTATTTTATAAATTAAGTCAGATTACTTTTAATTTAGCAAAAGTTTTATGCATGTGAAGTTTTCAGTGGAATTTCCTATAACTTTTCAGCAAAGTTTCCCCCCCAACTTTGATTTTCATTTTACATTTAGCACATACTGATGGGCTTTGCTAAACAGGACATTGTTTTGTGCATGCTTAGGAGTAAACAAACTTGTAGATGTTTTGTTGAATTTGCTCCTTAGTGAAAAAGCCAATCTTCTAAGCTGTAATAATTAAAGGAACAAGAAATTCTCAAGTAAAGCTGTTATGTGCAGAAAACTGCTTGCTTCAATTCAAAGCAAAAGGAACAGAGAAATATCCGTGCATGGGTATAGTCAATAATTGCTTTTGGAAATAGTGTACATGATCAAAGACACTGTTAGCACAGTTTTTCTAAGGCATGTTTGTTCCAAAGTGAAGGTTGGAAATTGTGTATTCATTCAGTGGATATCAAATGAAGAATTCCTCTCAGCTGCTCAGATGGGATAGAAATGAATGCTGAAGGAGAGAGGGAGGAAGAGAAAAAACCAACAATACAACAAAAATGCAAAAGCAAACACTAAAACCCACAAAACCCCCAGAGACAGTGAGCAGGTAACACTTTCTGAAGGTGATCATCTCTGACAGATTCAATGAGAACGTTTATCTTATTTTTCTAAGCATCTGTTTTTTAAATTTTATTTTTAATGTATTCCTTCCTGGTTTTCTTGGTCTTGAATCTGTATTAGATCTTTAAAACTGTCAGTCTGGACATGACAGACAATATAAGCAGACTAATTTTGAATACTGGCACTGGGGAACTGAGAGATGCACCACATTAGATTTATTTTACTTGCTAACACTAAACCTGCTTTTGAAAGACTCACAGATATCCTGCCACTGGCAGAATTTATACAGCTTGCACTGCATTCAAAAGCAGCAATAATATAGACAACTCTTTATGCCATAAGGTAGCCTTAGGTTGCTTCAAGAAGCCATAGCTGACATGGCAAATAGCTACAGTCCAGAGTTCTCAAGGAAATTCAAATAAAACCCAGGAGGCAAATTTACATATGAAAATGGAAAAGCAATATAGACTTATAAATAACAACAATGACAATGAACATTTAATTACAAGTTATGCATCCTAGGGGTGTGCCTGTAGCCAGCAAAGCACAGAAATATGAAAATACCCAACTCAAGATGCAGTTTAATTGGGGTAACACAGATATTTAATATGGTTTACTTCATCTATATTACACATTCTGTTACTGCTGCCCAAAGAATTTGTGTGTAGCAGTGTACACATAGACTGAGATAACAAAAAATGTGCAGTGCTGGAGAGTGAGAAAAGGGGTGTGCAAACACTGTCAAGGACTTTTTGAAGCATTCTTTGCTATGTCAGGTAAGTGCACTTTCAGAGAAGAGAGATCTAATTTATGATGGTGTCTGAGACAGGAGTTGTGAGTTATCCTCTTCTGCAGGTTGAAAACAGGTTTTCATTGACCAGAATTTGTGATGTGTCATCAATTCAGAAATTCCTGGCTAAACTTTCAAGATCTAACACCTGAGAAGGTTTTTTTGTATGAGCTTGAGACTTTTATTAGGAAGAATCCTTGTGACTTCCCAGCTATTCACAGAATCATAGAACAGTTTGGGGTGGAAGGAAGCTTAAAGATCATCCAGTTCCAACCCCCTGAGATGGGCAGGGACACCTTCCACTAGCCCAGGCTGCTCAGAGCCCCATCCAACCTGGCCTTGAACACTGCCAGGGATGGGGCATCCACAGCTCCAGAGGGCCAACTTCTCTGTCCTAACTTTACAGGGCTTTTTCCTAGCAGAAAGAAGGAAGAATATTACACTATCAAAAAATCAGAAAGGGATGGACCTGAACCCATCTCAGTTTTGTTCTGCTGAATCTTTCTAGCAGTTAGTGGAAGTGTGTTAGAGCAGAACAAGGACACCTAATTCTACTTGTAATGTTAAGAAAATGACTTCATTTGTTCATTGCATGCAGTCTCACACCTCGTGTGGCATGCTGCAACACAATAGAAGCTATAACAGAGAAAAAATATCATAATTAAATGTATTGATTAAATAAGTTTATTGTAATTAGGAAGACAAAATAACTAGCATGCCTATTAACTGAACAATAATTCCCTGAAAGGAGAATATTTCAATATCCTGACAGATCGTGTTGCTTCTATGGAGGTTTTACTGTATTTTCAGTAAGCCAATCTGGTCTGTCACATACTCAGTTTTTAATGGCAATGCCAATGACAGCATGTGTTTTTAAATGCAGCTACATCTGCCACTGTTAATTACTGAGTCATCTGACCACTGTAGTGGAAAATAAAAATGCCATAATGACATGAAAGCATTGAAAAAAGCTACTTGACAGAAAGCCACTTTCTTGTGCTACACAGTAAGTCTTCTGGTCCTAAGAAAGCCTGTATTTAACCATGGCAGACAGCAAGAAGAAAGAATTCTACAGCAGATCATAGCAGCAAAACAATACAACAAAACAAAACTGTTGTATTCAAAAAGGGCTACATATGCACTTTGGAACCAGCAGACCTGCAGTGGATTTGCTCATCAATAGATCTTTCCTTCCTGAAACAGCAAGTGATAGTTTGTAAAGAGAAGACTACATAAGCAAAACACACAGAGGTTTATTAAAAAAATTTCTTCATATGTATTCTTGAATACATATTATGTACTTTTTAGTGAAATGGAGGTGTTAGTCCTATCACTCCTATACAGACTTAAGAGTTAGTCTTGTTTTCAACCGAAAAAAAGAGACAAACCATGCCTTTTGATTTAAAGCAGCAAAGAAAAAGCTCTAGAAGATCAGCACATTTTGAAAGTGCAAGTATGTTATCAGTGATTGCTATGCAGTTCAAAAACCTGTGGCACTTAGTGATGACAGTTTGTTTGATTAAGCTAATAGAATTAAAGCAGATAAAAATAGCCATTTCTGGAATGCAAATGACAAGGAAAAACAGCTTCTAAAAAGTACCTTTCTCTGCAATAGGAAACAGAAATGAGAACAATTACAGATGGGAAATCCCAGAACGAAATTGCCAACCTAGTATTTTTGTATCGTGTGAGAACAAAAGAGGGAACAGTTCTACTGTACTAATACCAGCAGAAGCAGCAAAATCAAAATGTTTATGAAAATATAATTCCAGATTAGAGCTGCCACACTCATAAGTGCATATAATGAACAAAGACACAAATGTCACTAGTACTACCAATAAAGGAGAAATTTTCTACCAGAACTAAAGATACATCTACACGAAAGTTATGGTAGCACCTTAGAAAAAGCTGAGAAATCTCTAAACAAGATGGTTACAACACAGCACACACAAACACTGTGTAAAGACACTGAGTGGCTCCCAAAGCAATATAACCACCTTAGAAGAGTCCTGTGCCTGGATTTCCTATCTATCTTCGATGCTTCTTGCTCCAGAATGAATCCATTCTGAATAAACTGGGAATTACAGTCACAAGTCAAATTGCAGAACATAGAAAACTGTTTTAAGGAAAAAACCCAACCTAATAAAAAGATGGACAAAGAAAACCTAAACACCAACCCCCTCTCAAAAAAACTAGCCCTGATTTAGCAAGACTCCTACTGCCTTGGACAGTTGAACATTACATGACAAAGGTAGCAAGAAATTATCACTGTACCAATAGGGAAGACAGGATAAAGAAATAGAACGTGTTTCTACATTTTTTAATGTGATCACTTCAGATCACATAAAACTGTAAACAGCAAATAATATTACTAATCTTCTATAGTATTTTTGTAGTGCCACAGAATTACAAAAGCAGGGAGTGTATTGAAGCAGTAAGAAGCTCTTTCAAAGTGCTGATCTTACTCCAAGTTTGCTTGAATTTTACTCCACATTGGACAGAGTTAACATGTAAAATTGCTATACTTACTACTCCCCACCACAGGGCATCTGCATAGCTGCCAAACTCCGTTTCTCCAGAATCATTTACAGCATCTTTCTCAGCCAGGTACACAAAATAAGAGGAAAAAATCAGGCCCAGAAATCCAATGTAGAGTGTAGTTATCAGTTCCTGCAAAGAGAATCCAAATAATGACATTATAATCTCACTGAGACACTTCAATTTCCTAACACTGGTTATAAAGGATATATTATATATATTATAATATATACATATAATAATATTATATATAAGGATATTATAAAGGATAACTGGAAGAGAAAAATGCAATTTCAGCAATTAAAAAATATTGACACTGAGTGTCGGCTTTGCAAATCAACAAAAATTCACTGAGCTCCACAGACAACACAATCAAAACAACCTCCTCACACAGGACTCATTAACCTTCTGGCCACCAAAACGTAGCTGGGTAACTGTTTCAAACTGTGCCAGATTCAAAATAACTCTGGAATTCAGACACATATTTTAGGAAATATTTGGACTAGTTTTTAGAAGTCTCATTTTCTGTTGTTGAGTCCAACTACAAGTCAAAATCTGCCAAAGTGGCAGTGAATATAAGGCACAACAACCACGCTTGGTTAAAATAAATGACTACTTGCCTCCACACTAAATATAAGTGGTATCAACAGCAGGGCTGAATGTATGCTGTCCTGAATATAAAGGCATCAGCTGTGCCTCCCTCAGACTGCCCAACCTTACCTGTCTGTGTATGAACACCACTGACCCCAGCAGCCTCCAGGTACCGCCCTGACGGTCAACGTGCAGCATCCGCAAAATCTGCAGGAAACGGATGCCCCTGCAACATGATTTTCAAATTGATGAAGAGATCAAACACACAAGAGAAGAAACAGAGGAGGGAAAGGGAACTCTAGCTTCTAAAGGACTGTTTTATCAGTATTTTATTTTAGGCTGAGCAGCCTGCAGCTTTTAACTCCACTCATCCAACTTTCTCCTTGTTTGTTATGAAGACAGTTTGGGTAGAGTGTCCAAGGGAAGAACTGACCTTTGTACACATGGCTAGTAAGGATAACTCAAGGATTCAGGAATTTGGGACACAAACTGTAAATCCTCTAAAAATCATTCATCAACTCATGCTCACCAGGGTGGGAAACAAAATACAGTACCAGCTAACTGAAGATCTGATTTCCTTATCTTTGAGGAATTTCATAGGCAATTTGAACCAGACAGTCCAAGAATATTTTAAAATATTTTTATGGGAGCCACTGCAATCCTGGAGCATGGCTGCAATTAGTGTAAATAGCAAAGAACACATTAATCCAAGAAAACCAAGTGGTGTGACCTTCCTGAGCACAAGGTGGATTCAGCCCATCAGGAATTCACAACCACAGACACTTTATGAAGAGGCAGCTTGAAGCATTTTATATCAGAGCTAAGAAGCATCAAAGGGTTGCTATAAAACTGAGCTAAGAAACTAAGCCAGGATTTGGGTAGAACTCACCTAGCTGGGGAAACGGAGAAAGAGAATGAGCTTCTCCATCCCTACTAGCCATAAAAGCATTACAACAAAATTTTATCTCCCCTACACTTTATGGGATCACCAATCAGGTCATCAGGGATCTGCTCTTTTACATGACACTGGGCAGTGACTCATTTTCTGCTGCAAGAATTGAACAGGAGGTAAATTTAAAAAAAAAGAAGAAACACCACCTTGCTCAGATAGCACTACTTTCTTTTATTGCATATAATTACCTGATAGCAGAGGTTGCAAAGACTTGACCTTTAGAGCCCACACAAAGAACTATCATGGAAGCAACAACTACAATTAAATCTGGAAAATAAAAGTTAATCGAAGAAAATGAGTTAGCAACATCTTGCAATACTTCTGCAGGACTACTAGAACCAAAGACCCTATTACTTTAACAAGTTCAACCGTCACTCCTAATTAATATTTCTGTTTATATATCAAAAAATCTCAATAGTGGCATGTAAAAAACAATTTCATCATGTGATATGATGGAAAAGTTGTACTGAGATGGGTCCAAGCTGGCCACAGTCTAGATGAATGAGGAGTTAGTGTCAAGCAGCCTGGAATCCTTGTTAGCTTTAACCCAGGAGGAATTTCAGCAGCTTCCATCTATTCTCTCTTCTCCAATCCTTATTTTCTCTTCTGTGCTTAGACAGGATTTTAATTGACAAGAGATTGTGAGGTTTATTTCATATATAAGAAAATTGCCTTGCTATCATTTCATCAGTCCAGGTCTAAAAGGGAGAGAAAATTGGAATTAGGGTATGAGTCTAGTGTAGTTTAAGTCAGCCAGTACTGTACTCTAAATCTATGTGCCTCAGGCCTAGTACATTTTGGAAAGGAACTCTGTATTTTGGAGAACTAAATAGTTCTTGATCCATATCTGGGAAAGCAGAACTGCATTTTGCTTTCCAAACAGAATTAATCTGGATGATGTTTCAGAATGCTTAGTGTTCTAGCACTTGAGAGAAATGGATGGTGCCCAGAGTGCAAAGATGCAGTCCAAGTCTTTCTATAGCTGCAGTCACACCTGAGATGCAGTTGCTATTTTTATATATATATGGATGGATGGATGCACAGAGGAGCTAAATTAACCTATTTTATAATTGTAAAAATACCCAGGTACAACATTTTCTAATTTACATCCAGGAAAACTGTAGACAGTTTATGAAAACCTATGCCCTGTACTCAAGATCATATAATGTTTCTGAGTAGTGGAAAAATCTAAGTCACAGAACAAGAATTACTATTCTTCCATAACAATACTCCTCTTCCAACGTCTGATTTATTTAGTCCATTTATATTTCAAGTACTTAAGTACAGGGCAAGGGTCTTTGCACAGTTCTTTCAATGCCGCCTAGCAAAATACAGATTGCTTTTGGATTATGTTTCTTTTGGTGAAAATGTTAAATGAATGACAAGCATTCTATAAAAACAATGCCTAGTGACATATATGGAGTATTTGGATGCAATTTCCAAGAAGCCTTAAGTCATTTTAGGAAGCCAATTGAATCCAAAGGGAATTAAGGTGTCCAGCTCCAAATGCATCACTGAAAACCAAATCTTAATTCAATTGATACACAAAGCAACTACAGTGCATCTATTGTGCTCTACCATGCAACACACAGCTCAATTAGAGTGCAAAATAAACTCATAATAAACTAGTCACATGGCTGCTGAAGGAAGAAAAAAACCGCTGTGCAGTATATTTGAAAAAACACAATTGTAGCTCTTGTACAGTGTCTGGGGTCCTCAGGTCACAGGAGACAGGACTATGGCCAAGACTTATTCCTGGCAAAACTTAAGATCACTTCTGAAAAGCAAACGCTGCTCTTCTGGAAAAACAAGCCAAGCTGCATTTGTTCTCAAATGACAGTGCCATGAATTCCTGAAAGGAAATTCAGATCTACATTCACACTAATGACAGGAGCTCTCACTCTAACTTGGCTTCAACTGCTGTAGAAGTTCTACTTCTAAAAACCTTTAGGGCGAGTTTTACTCGATGTTTACATCACCTCTGCAAGCTTTGCATACTCACCAATGATTGAAATAGGCTTCCTAGCAAAGCGCAGCCTTCCCCATATCCCCACGTATTTACTGCGGCACCCTGCTGACCACAGCCGAACCACGTACTCTGTTCCAAAGAACACCACTAACACAATTTCCTAAAAGAAACACACAGGGAACGAGGTTAATTCTATCCTCTATGTATGTCTTTCATCTCTTTTCAGAATGTATTAGAGAGAAGTAAATAAAATGTAAAATTAGGAAGGTGACAAATATATCAACTATACCAAAAATGATCTGAAGTAAAATAGAAAAACCTGAAAGAGCAGAGAAAGAAAATATGAGGAGCAAATTGAAATACTTTGATTGCATGCAGTTTGGCTTGTCTACACATACTAAAACTGAAAACCATTCTGTGCAATTCACTTGGTCTAAGTCAAACAAAAGGTTTCCTGACTGAGCCAAAGAAAACAAGCAGAGTCTGTATTTAGAAGATGAGCATTTTGCTAGCTAATTTCATTTTGGGAAGAGGTGTGCTTCACATACCATTTACCACATCAGCTTAACTTCCCCTTATTTATACTTTTTCAGTGTTCCTTTAAGCTCACATGGATTGAAAAACTGTTTCTAGTATTCACCACCAATATGTCAGTCTCTAGGTACTCTGAAGAAAAAGCAAGCTCCCTAACACACCTTTCTCATCCTCTTGTCAGCATTTAGGGATTTTAGCAGAAACAGGGATCTAGTCCTGCAGCACTGCTTGTATCAAGCTCTTAGAAATTACTTACCTATACTAAGTTATAACTTTGGAAATGCCTCCAAGATGACAGATGTCAAAAACAACTGATATTCTTACTGACTGGACAGAGGTACAGTTAGGTCCTATTTGGAACATCATCAATGCGCAGATAAACCTTGGGTTTTCTACAGACTAGATAAGCATGGCATACCCAGCATAGTTTCCTTGAGTATCAGGGAGCTGAAATCCTTCCTTATTGGCCAACTCAATAAATAAATGGCCACATTCTCCATCAGAGCCAACAACAAAATCTACTTATTGAAATGGTAAGAGTGGCATGTCATTGAAAACACACAACACATGGCATAAAGTAAGAGTGCAGCTGAGAAACCAGTCTCAAGATGTCATGATTACACAAGTTAGTGTAGATAAGAGAATGAGCTCCTTATTTTAAAGTGTGATTTCACATAAAGAGCAATTGCAGAGATCACAATGTGCTGTTGAACATTCTACCCAGCCTTCTCACATATCTGCAGGGTTCACTACTGTTTTGCATAACTAATTGGCAAATGGGACTCAAGATGGTACCCATGATTATTTTCTTAATTAACTGAAATAGCCAGGACATAGCCCTAGTTTAGTCAAGATGAATGGGAGTCATTATCACCTTCAAAAATGCATGGGACACTGCCCTGAATACTGAGCAAAATAATTGGGCTGTATATTAAAAATAATGGGGAAAGGGTTAGGCATCAGTTGACTTTGCTATAATATTTTTTTGTAACTCTAAAACATTTTGATGGCATAGAAAACCTGTTCATCTCAAGGCACGAAAGTGTTGAAGTTCAACTTTGTGACATTTCTAGGAAAGCTGGTAGAACATGAGCCAGGACTCTTTCCCTTAACTTTGACGTCTCATAACCCATGCAAACATCAGATGCAGTAGAACAGCTTTCACAATTGTTTATAGTCACTTGTATTCAAGGTAGAATCATAAGATATAACTTACAATATAATATATAATATATATGGTATATATATATATAATTATAATATTAGAGTATTGGTTGTAATAAACATAAAGCTCAGATCCTTCAACCCAGCCAAGAACCTCTTCTAGAGCTTCCTTCTGAAAGGATCCACCAAACCGCTCCATCACTTTTTTTTGTTTAAAATTGAACTATTATTAAATATTTTCCAATAAATTAAAGACACAACGAACATCATAAATTAAAAGAAACAGCAACTGCACCAGATGATTTAAGGAAAGCATGTGTCTTATGAGAAGCTTCAAATGCAATGAAACTTTCCCTTTGTCCAGTCTAATGTCACTTATGAACCAAAACTGAATGGGAAAATCACGAGCTCTGCTTGACATGAGGTGCTGAGGAACTGTCACAGAAAATAGAGCACCAGAGGAAATTTTCTCTGTTTAGGTGATTGTATTCCTTCCACAGACCTGGTCAATAAACCCTAATATCCAAGTGCTCTTCCTTATGCAGAGGAAAGCCATACTGTGCTTTCTAAGATACACAGAACAGCAAAATCAGATGGCAAGCACACAAAGACTCAATAAAGTAAAAATCCCAACTTGATGAAGTACAAAGAACAAAAATAGGAAGACAAATGGTTTCTCAGATATATATATATAAACACTTACTGAGCAACAGCAAGTCTCAAAAATGCTATTTAGGACTGGCGATTTCCCCCATCTTAACCTCCTCACTTCCAAAGAGCTTGTAAATCACATCTTTCCAGAGGAAAACAAGTTTCCCTTCATCATTACCACGGAGGAAAGACAATTTTACAAAAGCCAGTTCCAACCACATAGGGAGAAAAAACTGTCCTTCATTCAGAATAGCTCATCTGAGGAAGGGAAATACGGCTTCACATCGTGTGTGATAGCACAGATAGCGCTGTTCAGACAGCCCCAAAAGCAATTACTAAAAGCAAAAGGAGAGGGGAAAAAGCTACCTTGGTAAGCAGAGAAAAACCCAGGGGAAAAGTGAATGTTTCAGCACAATGGAACCAGGAAAAGCACGGTGACCAGGCACCGGGGCCCTGTCGGGATCACCGGAGGAAGGGAGGAAGAGAAAGCCTGGATTGTGCTTGAAGGCAGCGAGCGCTCCCCACGCAGGACATTTGCATGGGAGCTGTGTGCCTGTGCTCCCTAAAGCCCCTCCATGGTTCACTGGCAAGTATGCAAATGGGGGCTGTCCCCGAGACAATGGGACAGACACGCACTCAATGGTTACTGTCACCCAGCCCTTTGGTGACATGCAGACAAGCCCGGAGAACACTGATTGTCCTATACACTCCGCTGACTGGAGGGAACGACCAGTCGGCTTACACCAAGACACATTTTTCACTCCTGACGTTTTGATAAAGGCTTATTGACCTAAATGAGACCCAAGTTATTCAGGGAACATCGGGGGTGAAAGTGCACAAGCTGTTCTTCATGGTCATACACAAAAACGCCAGGTATCCATTAGCAACTGGCAAATTCCCCCTCCCCGCCCGTGGCTGTGTGACAGACAAAAGTGTTTTTAATATCTTGTGTTGCATAAATCTAATAAGTAGTCTCCTGGGGGCGGGGGAGGCTGATGAATTTCTGTGTGCTCTTATATCAGTGGCCAGAAACTTGTAGACAAAAAAAAAAAAGTACATTAGAAAATTATGTTCTCCTGAGCTACACTCCCTGTATTTTTCTGATTAACAGCTTACCATGAAATTTACATGCACTACAAGAAAATAACTGCCTGAAATACACGAGTGAGCATGAGAATAAAAGCTCGGTCAAGGAGTTTTCTCGGTTAAAATTGCATACACACAAGAACTACACCGTGCAAGGACACATTCAATCCAATGTAATGTATTAGCAATCTCCTTTCTACAAGGTGAAAACAGAAATACAACACTGAAAACTTACATGGTATTAAAAAAAACTTACACAGTATAAAGAGCCCTTTAAGATGTGACAGTCATGGACATCCACACTATGGACATACAGGGGCTGTCTCAGTTAAGAGAAAATACTTTTTTCCTTTTAATTATTGATGTCTACATGGTACCCTCACTTCTGCCATCCTTCCTGTACAGCCCAGGTATATGTATTGTGCCATTTTCCTGCCTTCTCACCCACATAATCCCAAGCAAAGCCAAGTAAAATATGGCATAATTTAATCATCTGGTTACAGTACAGCTCTCACCATCCAATGAAGGAACTTAGGCAGGATCAATAAATACACAGTTGCCTCACAAACCATACCCATGCTATCTGCTAATACAGTCCATAGCTCCAGAGTTCCCAGGGTATTTTGCTAATAAATGCATCTTGAAAAACCCTTCCTTTATTTCTCAATCCTCACTAGACTGAAAGAGCTACAATCCTCTGATGGGAGGCATCCAATACCTGCACTGTGAAATAAAGTACAGTAGCAACTCCAAAAAGGAATGACAGGGTCCTAAAACTTTAATGAAAGAGATGTTTTTAAGCTATTAGATTAATAACTTGGAGGGAACAAAACCACAAAATACTGAAAAAAAAATGGATCATGACACCACAACAACAGCTATTTAACAGATACAGAAATTGCCTCTGGAGGCTAAGAATGCATCTGTATAGAGAAAATATTGCCTGAGGCTCTGCCTGTAGACCTCAAAGCTGTAACTAGTTATGGAGCATCAGAGACATTCAGGCAAACATTTGATATGGGAGGGCTAGATGCGGTCATCTGAAATCTCTTATGAGCAAAAATGTCTTTACTCGGACTCTAGATCTTTTTCAATGCACACCATAAGAGAGGTAAAACACACATCCTAGGAGGAAGGCAGCAAAGCATGCTATTAATATTAATAGTTAATATTTAATATTAATTAAATAACATAATAACTATTATGTTATTCTGACGGCCTACAGAATACTCAAAACTGAAGACAATATACAATTTATTTTATCTCCCATGGAGGTGTCTGCCCTAAGAGGAAGGAGAGATGACAGGCACAGGAACACAAGAGGCATTGGTGAGGGGGACAGCTTTAAGACTTTTAAGTACACATTTCTTGTACTGAAGAACTTCCTCCCATCTCAACATTTCACTGGGAATACAATTTTTACCCTTACCTGCCGTATCGCAAGCACTATTACATTGCCCTCATAGGAGAGATAAATCATGTTATTTCCACAATTCTATCAAATCTGGCTTCAAGGATGATAAAGTTCCCATTAATTTCTTTGAACAATGAAATAATCCCTCATGTACCTTACACAGGGATTGCATGCCACCAACCATTACTCCAGCTGTAAGACTCCTGTGGCTCTACTTGCACTGAAACCTATTTTTCAGCCAAGGCAATGGAATATTGCTGCTACAGAGCAGTAAGGTGGAGCCTCCTCACAGTCTCAGGCAGCAGCAGTGG